TTCGGGAGGCTGGGTAGCCGCTGTCGGGGGCATCTTCTTGCGTTACCCCTGCTTTGCCTAGGGACCAAATTATATCCGCGCAAGCGAGTTTTTTGTTTCCGCGGGATGGGTCCTTGTCCACGTCCACGACGCCGAGTTGGACTCTGCGCGGGATGGCGTGGAGATTTGGTGTGACGAGACGCTTCATTTCTGGGAATTTCTTTTCCATAACGGAGTCGAGACTTCGGGGGATAGTGGCGGAGCAAAGGATCAGTTGTGTCAGTGACGGAGCTGTCTTTTCCATAATGGAGTATGTGAGGGGCGAAAAGGATTTATCTAAGAGGGAGTCCGCTTCATCGATGACGAGATGAGCGACGCGACTGAGAATATATGGGTTGGTTTTGGCAATTGAGGTAAGAAGATGAGGGGTAGAAATGAGGATATCAATTCCGGCGGGGTTGAAGAGGCTGTTTGTAATTCTACGAGGAGTATAGACAGAAGAAATCGTTGCAGAGCGAAACTTGGCGGTATGTGAAAGCTGCTTTGCGAGTTTCCCAACTTGTTCTACCAACTCTGCTGTTGGCACTAAAATAATAGCTCGGGGTCGTGCGACGTTTGAATGTTCAGGCGTGGCCAACTCCGGAGCCTCAAGTTCAAATAGATTTTCTTTGCTCTTCTCCGTTACTCCTTGCTGCTTTTCCCCATTATCCATCAATTCCGTGTCTTTCTCTACCATCTCAGCCTGCTTGATCCAGTTTATGATTGGCAGAAGATATGCTAGAGTTTTGCCAGTCCCCGTTTCAGCGGCCAGCAGGAATTGGTCGAAATGGAACAATTCTTCTTCCTCTTCTTCCTGCGGCTTCTTCTTTCTCTTGTTCTTCTCCGTCTCGGAGATGGGTGGTCTAAGCAGTGCTGGAATAGCTACACGTTGGATAGGAGTCGGGGAGATTTCGGTAAGCGTTGGGAATGCATTCGCGTAGACCGCTTCTCGTACTTGAGGGAGGAGCGGGAACTGATCAAAACTGGTAACAGCGGCGATTTTTTCCTTAATTCTATTACGACGCGAGTAAGGTATTGGAGACAGGGCAATTTGCATTTTCAGAGCTCTGAAAAGCGAGCCATCCTGTTTCTTGTCCGCAGCATCCTTTTCCTTATTATTCAGATCTGACGAAGATCTTTTCAGCTCCGCATCGGACCGGGGTATTGGGCGATCAGGTAGCCGAGCTCTAGTTTGGTTCATTCCTCCAAAGGGGTTATTCTTGAACGTCGGGGGAGGCTTCTTCTTCTTGGAATCCTTGAACCGGTCAGAGGATCTTGCAACATTCGGGGATAGAGCCATACGCGCGGGTTTGCGCCGGGCCAGCCTGGCGGACGAAGCGAAGCGGACAAAATGCCATGGTTGAGGGACGGCGGGCTGCCAGCCCCAGACAACAGTTCTCATCTCACAAAGTAGACATGTAGATGCCACGGGCGACATGAAGCAGCAGCCGCAGCAGTTGATGCGAGTATGTATGTATACTATTCCCTAACCAATGTTGCTAAGCAGCACCGGGGCGAGTACAAAAATTAGTTTATTCAAGGTTTGATGAAAATTTAAAGCTGGAAACCTTGGAAGCTTGGAAGCTTGGAAGCGCGCGCTAGACCCGATGGGGACGCGTTGTCGGGGAAACGGGGGCCATCGGGATGTCAACAGCGGGAAGGCATAAACAAGGCAAAACAGGCGGCATCAAAACCAGCCATACGCCGCATCTCCACCACACAAAAACATCGTATATCTTACATCTTGCATCCACTGTGCTTCCTCTCCTCTCCGTCCTGGTCACCATCTTCCGTACGCTCTTTGTCCTCCACTTGGGCTTACTTCTGCCCTGTTCGTTTCTCTTCACGTCGCTCTTTGTTGCTTTTGTTTCTCCCTGTTGTTTCTTATAATCCCCTGTTGGCCGTTGTGGCTGTCTTGGGGCACTGGTCAAAGGGACTATTCTACTCTAACCGCCTCCCGACCATTTTGCGCCATTGTTTCTTGTCGCAAACAATACCGTTATTTGATCGTCAATACCCTTCTGACCCGTTAGTACCCTGCAAAGAGAACCCTTGTTGTGTTGTTATATCATTTGTTATAGGTATGATTCTGCTATATTTGTTGCCTCAACTGGACAATGTTTTGGTTTCGATGTAGTTCTGGTGGACATATTGATTACGCCAGCTTGCTCATCAATTGATAGACACGGAACTGGTCCAGAAAAAAGCGTGTTAGTTCTCTTGCGTTAAAGATGGCAAGTGGACAGCGGCCTCTATCTGAGCTGAGCCCAGTGGCTCAACGTAGAAACTCCCCGAGCTGGAATCAACGCACTAAGGTTTGTAGACAGTTTCCTCAGCTAGAGCGACTCCTAGTTAACTGATATGACTAGACCACAGTCGGTAATGGCGATTCATCTCCGTTCGACTCATTCAATTCGCCCCAATCTCCAAGATTGTTTTGGAAGGGCAGGGATAGTGGCTCTCCAACCAGGCAGGGCCCTGAAAACAGGAGCCCTTACGACCCGCACGTCTTCACTACCCCCTCCAAAAGATCTTCCATTGAAAACTTAAAACGAGCATCCCGTGTGAAAAACAGCAGTATTGTTGCTCGAGAGAAGAAGCAGGAATACGACCCTGCCCATGTTCAGGTTCTGGAACGGCCTCTTGCCACTGGTAGACCTCTAAGTTCTCAATTGAAAAATAACGCTAAAGAAGCTGGTAGTGTGGATGGTCGACGGCAGCTGCCTTCTCAATCCCTTTCCCCAGCTAAACAAAATCCATCTGCCAGGAAGGGCGAATCTATCAATACAACCAGCGTTGTTCCAAAGTCGGAGGACATTGTTACTCCGACAACCTCCCATACATCCCCAAGCAGGCCTCAGTCGTCTCCAACCAAATCATCTCTGACGAGAGGAAGTCGATTCGGAAATAAGAGGATGTCTTTTGATCCCGAGAATGATGTTTGGTCAGATGACAAGGATGAGGGTCCAGACACAACACCACGGCGTCCCTATATGCATCGCCAGACTAAGAGTGTAACTTTTGATGCAGCACCACCGCAGATCAATGAGTATGAAATGACAACTCCGGTTCCATCATCAATTGCCTCGAGTTCACGAGAAGGCAGCTACGATTCTGCTGATATGGACGAAGAGGACAGTTTCGATCGCGGTTCCTTCGTGGGTGCTGAAGACAGCATTGACGCATCTTTGGAAGATACAGACAAGACTCCTGTTGTTCTGCCAGAGGACTGGCGTTTTATGAGCCCCGATAGAGTTCGTGAGGAGCTCCAGGGAGAGGATGACCCTTTCAGTGAAGATTTCGGTAGCCTTGGCCCCGACGGGAAATCTCATTCCTCGCAGGAACCGCAATCCATTGAACCCCAGGTTGAATCTCTAGACTCTAACAGCGATCACCGTCCTCTCCCGCCACTACCCCCTTCTACTTCCCACTCTCAAGTGACCCCCGACCGGGCCAGCCGGCTTTCTTTGACCATGGAACTTGCCAAGAGTGGATCCCGCAAGTTACCTTCCTCATTGAGTCCAGCCTATTGCTCGAAGGCTGAAATAAACCGAATGGGTCAAGGGTCAGTGTCACTGGAAGACAGGCTTCGTCTCATGATGACCCAGACCAGGAACGGTCTCCGGACGCTGAGAAGCAGCGTGAGCGCAGAATGAGACGTGCTGGTAT